TAATGGGCCAAAAGCCCATTTCGAGCTGGGCTGATATGATCACCCAYYTATGGGGYGAATMTGAGRTTAATGYTAGTAAAAGGATTGGGCCTTTAACCTTATCCACTCTAGGAGACCAAATTCAAATTAGATTTGAATCTGGTAACCTCCTGATAAGATCAGGAATAACCTAACTTAATCTGCAGATAGGATTACGATAATCCCCTATTCAAATACTGATTTGGATTGGGATAACTCCTAATTATGAGGTTTTCTTAATCAAGAATAAAGGAGGAGAAACCCAAGAGAAATATATCAGATTTCGAACCAAGGGTTTTTTTTTGGCAAGAAATCATCCTGCAAACAGAGATTAGATCTCATACAAAACTCCAAAGAGAAGAGAAACAGTTCAGCCATCTTCGTCCCAGGAGTCTCTTCTAGGCGCCGCCATTCCCTCTTGCAAGATTTGATCTTTGCAGCAATAGGAAGTCAAGAAATCAGTTCTTGACATCAGTCTTGCGAAAAGACTGAAAAAGATTCAGTGTCCAGAGTTTCCAAAGGGTTCTTGCGAAGGATCTAGTGTGTAGGACGCACTCTGCTGGTTCCGTTCCACCCACAGCTGTGTCATATTCAGCAGGAGCGGATCTTGGTATCTTCTTTGGGCGTGAACACCAACTTTGGGAGATACTGTTTCTCCAGATTAGGTATAATCCTCCCTTTTTCTTTTTGGTTCAGATCTGGTTCGATTATGGTTCAAGTAGAATCCTTGAAWAWTRTATTCTAAATTTAGGGAATGCGATTCCCAGTTGGGAGAAGGTAGGAAAATTTTTGAAATTCGCCCACCCATTCTGCAACCTTTATGGCGTCCATTAGATGGATCCTACCATCCTTTCACCCTCCGTGGTTCCTATGGGAGTTGATAGCCAACAAACTGTGAGGTCACACTGCAAATCGAGCCCTCTATGCTTTACATAGGAGTTGATGGCCAGCAGGTTGTGGAGCTGCACTCGTAGGTCAGTCTTGCCGAGGTGACGAGGCGTCTGTAGGCCGAGGTGCTGAGAGCAAAACTAGACTGTCAAAATTCCGATGACCTGGAGACCTGCTTCCGTCGGTCTGATGACCTACTTTCACCGACCTAGCGATTTGCCTTTGACACCGAGATGGCGACCTACCTCTACCGACCTGGCAACACATGTAATCAGCCCAGACGAGCCTTGTCAGCCCCGCAAGGTCCCCCTACATGTCGAGCCCTCCGTGGCTCCCCTGGAATTGGCGGCCAATGGACTACAATCACCCTTGCGGGTTGAGCCTTTCAAGGTTCCCATGCGAGCTGGCAACCTGCAGTTAGTAAAACTGCCCCCACTAGTTGAGCTCCTTGTGGCTTATCGTAGGAGTAAATGACCAACACCTTAGAGGACTGACATAGTGCAGCCGTGACACCGACCCGCTATTTAAATTCCAACATCAACACACATATTGCAAGGGGAAGCCAAATCGCTTTCAGCATCAAGGACCCCTAAACTGACCTCGAAATATGTTGGTAACAGGCCAAAGGACCAACAACGAAGCACGAATCTACTCCCTTTGCTGAGATGATCTCAGCTCGGGAGTGGGGGACAATTGATGAGGGCAGATTTGGCCCTCCACTAACATCATGACACATGGCATATCAGAACAATTGGACTACATCCCAGCATCACCTAGGCGACAACTTGTCTTAGCCAAAATGGGGTCCCAGCTGGCGACCTACCTCTATCGCCAACCTGGCAACCTACCTCTACCGCTGACCTGACAACCTACTTCTGTTGCCGACCTGGCGACCTGCCTCTGCCGCCGACCGGACGACCTACTTCTGCTGCCGACCCGACGACTTGCCTCTGTCACCGACCTGGCAACCTGGCAATCTGCCTTTGTCGCCGACCTGGAAACCTACCTATCTAGAAGTTTGCCAGTTGTCTCCGAGCCTTTCGAGATCACGCTGCATATCCGTAGGCCTTATCCTCATCCCGCCCCAATCGGAGGGAAACGGTAAGCCTTATTAACCGGCATGTTATCCTTCTTCTAAAGCGGAACTGACCCCTACGTCGTGGGCCGAAGATTCCGGGAGCGTTTCGCAATACCCACGACAACCCAACTATATAAGGGCATCAGCCCCTAAGACCCAGGTAGATGCACAATTTAGTTCTCGTAGCTCTCCAACTCTCTCACATTTAGCTATCTTAAAATCTCTGATTCGCTAACTTAAGCATCGGCGTGCCCACTCCGGGTAAAGCAACCCGGGCACTCTGATACTATTTCCTTGTAGGTCGAATAAGAGCCACCTCTCCAGCTCGCCACCGTTTAGCTCGGCATTAGAGCCACCTCTCCAGCTCGTCACCGTTCTGCTAGACATTAGAGCCACCTCTCCAGCTCGTCACCACTCAGTTAGGCATCAGAGCCACCTCTCCAGCTCATCACCACTCAGTTAGACATTAGAGCCACTTCTCCAGCTCGTCACCACTTAGTTAGACATCAGAGCCACCTCTCTAACTCGTCACCATTCAGCTAGACATCAAAGCCACCTCTCCAACTCGTCACCACTCAGTTAGGTGTCAGAGCCACCTCTCCAGCTCGTCACCACTCAGTTAGACATCAGAGCCACTCTCCAACTCGTCACCATTCAGCTAGGCATCAGAGCCACCTCTCCAGCTCGTCACCATTTAGCTAGGCATCAAAGCCACCTCTCCAGCTCGTCACCACTTAGCTAGACATCAG